AAGGTTCTGGGTTCGAATCCCTTCTCCCTCATGTGTCCTTGGGAAAGGCACTGTTACCAAAAAGCAAGCACTATGAGGAACCAGGAAATTGAATTGTGTTCATGCCATTAAATTGCGACCTGTCCCATCCCCCATATAAACCTGTCCCTGCAGTGTTGAGTGCTATTCATCATGTAACAACACGTTACCCTACATGTGTGTGGATGTACTTCACATCACACAAGTGTTGTCCCACTGTCCAGGGGACATCCATTAAGATTTATAATATGGCAGCTCTGAGAGGTTTGTTTTGCTGTCGTCAGCTGTATCGGGTTGTTTTATACTTATGGAGGCCTTCATTACGTATGTGGTCAAGCCACAGTAAAAGCTGATGCTTGAATGTACTTACATGTATATGTCACAAAATGCCACAGATCCATATGGCAGGGCTCGAAATACCCGGTGGCGCACTGGCGCGGCGCCACCTGATTTTGCTTGGCGCCACTTATTCCTAAACTCAGGTGGCGCAGCGCGCCACCTATAATTTGCGTGGATCGAGCCGCTAATCGCATGGATCGGGCCCCATTGTCGGCACAATCTTGTGAATTGACGATGAATTGTCGATCTCGCCATGACGCCACAAAGAAAACGTTCTCATTGGTAGAAAATCAGACACCTCGCTGGCGTTTCACAACACAATTTTCATGTAAACAACTCCGACTGTCCTTGTTTACATGCAAAGCGCGCCGATACAAAATCCTGCCGGCCGCCCGACCGACCGCATGCGACGCTAAGTTTTCGGCAGCTCGGCGGAAAAATAATCCATCCCCAGAAGAAAAGTTACGCATGAAAATAACAACTACAACTTGCTTTCCTCGTTATATGAGTTTTTGAGGCCGTAAAATGTTTAAAACGGTTGAAATTTGCTCGAAAAAACGGCTCGAAAATCAGCGGCGAGACTGACAAAATGGCCGACGGTGTTTCACAATAACAGTGGTCAAAGGTCAAGATAGCACCCAAATGTACAAGATACATGTACTAAGTACATATTACAATGTGCTAAAACGAACTTTAAGGTATGAAAAATATTTTTTGGGCTACAACTGAAATAAAAATTCACTTGTATTTTTATAAGATTAATTTTCAAACATTACTGAGAAATTTCCCGAATTTATTGGTTTCTTGTGTTAGTGCGGTTGGATGCTGTGATTGTGAAGTCCCTAATACATGTGTACATTGGGAGAATCAGATGAGATATTAGAAATTACCACGCTTAGTACCGCGACCCGAGTGTCTCTCAAAAATTGTTTTGAGTGGAGTATAGACATGATCACATTTTTATTGTTCAGCTGTGTCAATATGTGATTTGTTGGGAAATAGGATTTGGTTTAGTTTTTAATATATCAATGTCAGTAACACCTTTGGGAATATTTGCTCCAAGTTCACTTGTTGAACTTGTGGAAGCACCGTTGGCCCCCGGTTAGGGGTCATCCGGGGAACCTATGCCCAATTTTTTTTAATCAAGGGAACTAATACCATTTTAT